GAGAGAGTCGTAAAAAGAAGGACTTTTATCGACGCGGCTCGGCATGCCGCAAGAGTAAATTTTTCATTGCCCTGCTCCAAAACGTGTCATCAATAAGCATCTGCGGCCGACCTAGACCTCTCTCTCTCTCTCTCTCTCTCTCTTCCCCTCTTTCTCTCTCTCATCTGCCCCCTTAATCTAGGGGTTGAGGATGAGGTGGGGAGTGCAAGAAGACGGCCGAGTGACTTATAAGAATGCAGATTTATTCCCCCTTGACCCAATACCATAAAAAAAGAGGCCGGCGTAACGAGTTTTCATTTGAATAGCATCTGCCTGCGGGGCGCTGTGCCGCCCAAGCGCCCGCTGTCGTCAAGCGGAGACTATCCACCTTGATCAAAATCAAAACCCACCCACTAAGAAGTGAGGATAGGAGAGGGAGGGAGGGAGGAAGGAAGGGGTGGAGAAGAGGGAGGGAGGGAGGGAACGAGAGAGAGAGAGAGAGAGAGAGAGAGAGAGGGGGGGGGGGCATCACGTACGACGCCCACCTATCATGACCGGCGCCCCATCGCGCGCCCCTCCAGGGGACACGACACCCACATGAGATTCCTCGTAAGAAGCATCATTGTTGGTCTGGGTGGCGTGGGACGTACACATTTTCATTCTGTCGCCACTCACTTGCTCCTTTGTAGTTTGATGCGTGCTCTCTCCCTCGTATTTCCTCCGCCTTTCCCTCCCCCCCACCCACCCCTCTTTTCTTATACTCTATATAACCTGTTTGGTGTTCTCAATTTCAGTTTCACCCGCCAGCGCATACTTCCCCTTGCTCTTCTTGGGACAACAAGCTACAGCGAAGTGGGAGCGACGGAGAAGCTTAACCTGCACGGTTAAAACTTACACCCACACTCACTACTTTCTTACAACAGTAATCGTAAAACGAAAAATCCGAGAAAAATCGGATTTGTAACGTACGAAGGATTCAAAAAAGCCATATTACAAACGAATTTTTTTTATACTACAAACAACTTCTTTGTATAACAAATGAATTAACTTCTTAGTACGTTACGAAAAGAAGTGGTTCGTAAGAAACAACACAATCGGAATAATGACCGTTGCAAGCTCACGATGTAAGTTAGGCCGAATACAGTCCGCACCCGTCAATATAAAATGATCATTCTGTCCGCAGGAGACCGCAATTCCCGCAGTTTTTAACACGGCAGCACACCGAGGATTAGACGAGGTCGCGTATTTTGCCGGGGATAGGGAGGGGAACGCCTTGATGAAGAAACTCGACGACACATGAGGTAACGAGGCCTCAGCAGACGGGTTTAGGATCAGAGATTACAGGCGGTTATTTGACACTATGACTGTGCAACGTGGAACACGCAGAGCATAGGGTGCATAGGGTTGTGAAGGGTGCACAGAACAGGAGGTGCACTGCGCAGTGCAAGGGCAGCGCCTTGCCGTGCCATCGGAAGAAATTTCTTTTTAAGTGAATGAGATGGCGTGGGGCACATTGCACAAGATGAGCCGCTTGGGGAGAATGGAAAGGGCCAGAGAGAGAGAGAGAGAGAGAGAGAGAGAGAGAGAGAGAGAGAGAGAGAGAGAAGGCGACGGAGATGGAAGAGGAAGTGGAACAGGAAACGAGGAAGGACCGTCGGAAAAAGAAAACTCGCGCGCGACTCTCATCTGGACCGGGTTGGATTAAAAACAAGACGGGAAAAAAAGGTAGGGAAACACGAGGGAAATGAGGGAGAAAACGACGTTTCATCGCAAAGAGTCAGAAAAAAGGTTATTGATTATTCTGTGCGTTTTCCTCTCTTCCTCTGGCGCTCCCCTGCTGCAGCGCGTGCACTCCACCCAAAGCACTCTCCACTATCGAGACATCACTTGCAGAGGTGCGCAGTTAGGAGGAGCACTGCGGCAGACACCGAAAGGAGCGCGTAACTGGCCATAGCGAAGCGGTGGACCTAGAAACTAGGCCAGCCTTATCAAAATTTTAGCTTCAGCATTATTTTTCCTATAGCATCACCCTTTTTTTCTATAATTTACTATAATTGCGACGCTGCAGCAATCATAAGCACAAACAATAAACTGTTAATTTTTTGCTTCCTCTAGTTCTCCCTGTTTTCTCGTAATCGGCTACAGCACTGCCTGGGCTGAGACCTGTCAATGAAGATGATGGCGCTGACGCAAACTTACCCATCCACCCGAGGTGTTCGGACTTTTCAAGTTTCGCACGGAATCTCGTAACCTCTTGCTTAAGGTCTTGAACGACGGGGGGCAAAACTTCATAGTCCATCCGCATCTGACGTTCCAGTTCAGCCACCCTGTGAAACAAGCAGGACGAAGCCCAATAGAGTCCCTTTCGCTCATGGCATGGCAGCAAGAATTTCATACTGTTGGATCGTTCGATACGCGAGGCGGGTAAAGGGGAGAGTAGGGGCCCCCGCACCTGCGACCATAACTTCATCCAAGCCCAGTTGGCTGCGAGAGAGAATTAGCGGTAAAGTGTTGTGGCTCTGTTAAATATTCGATATCAATCTGACTTTAAAAGGACTAAAACGATTATTTTTCACTTCTAGGGTACCCCACAGACAGAGCCGCCATAGCTTTTAGGGATGGGCGTATTAAAATATTTTACTGCAAATTACAGCAACTTCACTTTTTTGCTTAAAATGGAGGCTGGTCTTGTAGCAAACCAGTGGTGATACCGCTCTTCCAACAGTGCCGAGTGCCCCGAGAACTGCCACGGACTCGACGAGGTAGGGAGTATAGAGAGGACGTTGGGCCGTTGGGCCGTTGGGCCGTTGGGTCGGGGCGGAGGTCCACCCTGTCGCATGTAGTTGCTTGTTCGAGTGGGCCAGTTGATGAACAGCAAAGTTACGCGCGCCAAAGTGACCAGCGGCAACTCACCCCTCCCCTCCTCTGTCCCACTCCCCTGGACTAGCCTCGGTAGAGAAGCGAAAACTGTTAGACTAACTACAAACTATGAAAGCGAGAGGCGCCTAAACGAAAAACGACCGAAAAATAGTTGTATTGCAAATGGGAAACACAAATAATAGACTTTAGTGTACAAATTACTCGGATTTTATATTATATTTGTGATTCTCACCTGTTTTCTAAGGCGATGAAGTCGACGCCCACCTGATCCAGCAGCATGCCTGCAAAACGAGAGATAGGTTTTAACAAGTCTGGACAGGAAGATCTATAGATCAGGTTATTATATAATATCCTAAATCATTTTGATTTTTTAAAAAAAGAAACCCTTCCATTGCAAATATTATGAATGTATTAATTTAACTTCGTAAAGTTCAGAACACCAATCAGATGCAAAAAAACAAACAAGATGCAACCGAATAATGAATGCAAAACATATAGCTCACATGCACACAGCGCCTAAAAGACGACATAATAAAACATTTACTAAGATTCTGGCTACGGCAGGCTTGCTAAATTTTTGAACAGCCGTGGGGAGGAGGGGAGAAAACCGGTTACACTAGCCTGATTTATGTACCACGATCAAGTAACGAATGTTACATTTTTCAGAGGTTAAGGTTTGGGCCACAAAGCTCTCCCACCACCTCACTTACACTTACATGATGAATTGAAATCGAAAATGTTTAAAATGCACAAAAGCATTTCTTACTGCGAGTGTTGAAAGTAAGGTCCCAAACTATACGGTCCCGACTTGACACCTGGATTTGTCCCGCTATGAGCCGAGCACCGCGACACGACCAGCGGCGCAGGACAGTTGAGGACAAGAGAGGATTTAGCTTTCTCTGCCGAGACAATTTCAAGGCCACTTTTCTCCCTCGGCTCTATAAAAGAATCCTCTCCAGATGCTTTGGTCTGCGAGGCGGAGTGCGGATGCTGAGAGCACTCCAGGGACCGGCGCAAAGGAAAGGATGGAAAAGTGGGAAGGAGATGGAGGAGCAAAAGGGTGGGGGTGGTGCCTCGACTGACCGACAGAGAGGGGTCAGCCACGAAGGTGCCGAGGGTCGGCCGGCCGACGGCAAGTCGAGGCGCAACGGCCGTCGACAGGTCGGAATCCCTTCCAGCGCCTTCCATCGAAATTCAATTCTATTCGTCCAAAACACAAGCGGGGTGAAACGAGAAGGGCCCGGCCGCAGCCGCAGGGCTGCACGGTGAAGCAACGTGGCCGGGCCCACCAGGCTGTTCAAACTAAAACAGAAGGCGTTCTGGGAAATCAAGAGTTGGCCCGCATTGAGCTAAAGCGTTCCAAGATGATGAAACGTCTCAAGCAGGTACCAAGTGAGACAGTAAATACTACTGTATTATTGAACCAGGACCGCTTGAAAATAAACAAAATAAATTACGGAAACAAACAGTGAAAAATAAATCTAAAGAGAATTTAATCGTATACTTTTCTCCTCGCACGGGCCAGCGCCTAACCTTTTAATCTCATTTGTCTTCACACGCCGTGGGGGAGAAAAAAAAAAGAACGGTAGTAGCGGAGGCGCCAGAGAAAAGCCTCCTAGCCCAGCCCAGCGCTGATGCGGCTTTGTTATCATGTGAGCTCGTTCCACACACTCGGCGCGTCAAAGCGCCCCAACCTCACCTGCAGCGAGTCCGCCCCGCCCCCGGCTGCCCCCCGGCCAGAGATTGGCCCCCCGGCCGGCGGCCACACCACACCGCCGCAAAGAAAGTTATTAACTGGGTAAAGCGGACGGGATACATTGTGAGTTAATATTAGCCCGGGCCCGGAGGAGGCAAACAAGGTAAAAGCGGTAGACGAGAGAGCGAGCGAGAGCCGCTGCCCTGCCCGGCAGCGAGGGAGATAGAGGCGTACGGGTAACAAGATTGGGGGAGAGAGGGGG